AGAATTTGTTGGCAAAAGAAGACCAAGGTCCATTTAGTTCGCCTTCCACCATCCTGGCCATCACTTGACATGTCGTATTCTCTATTATCGACATTATTTTCTAGCAGAAATCTATCTAATTTGTTCTTGAAACAAATAACATGTTCTGCCTCCCCCGTCTCCCTCCCTCCCTCGGGACCCTGTTTATCTCTCACTCACTAAAGTAGTGTTTCAGCAGATTTGTTCTGAATTTACTCCCCTTCAATCGCAGGCCGTGTCCCACTGGTTCTACTGTTCAGTAGAAGGTAAATCAGCTTATCGTGGTCTACATTATCTATTCCTTTCAGAATCTTAAAGACCACAATCATATGGCCCCTCAACCATCTCTTCTCCAGTGTGAACATGCCCAGTTTTATCTACTCTCTCCTCGTAATCCAGTCCCTCCATCCCCTCAATCGGGATTGATATTGGCGTTGTTCATACCAGAGCGAGAAATGAATTTTGCAATTCTTTGGGATGACTTTTTTTGGACAAAAAGATTGTATAAACTCCCCATCACTTGACATTTCGTATTCTCTATTATACGACATAATAGTCGTATAATAGAGAATACGACATGTCAATGTCGTATGGAGCCTGTTCCACCATTTTATAAGATCATGGCTGATCACATCTCAAATAAGATCTAATTGAGGTGTTTAAAATAATAAAGGAATTCAAGGAGTTAGATACAGAGAACTATTTCCTCTGGAGGGTGGGGGGAGGAATCCAGAACAACAACAAGATTCCATTTATAGAGCGCCTTTCACATCGGGAGGACATCCCAAGGCGCTGTACAGTTGGGTCAGCAACCCTGAGCATTGGGGGGAAATGGTCAGGGTGAGGGGAGGGAAGGGAGGGAGCGAGGAGGGGGTAGAGAGTCGAGAGGGGAGCTGAAGGCACAGTCAAAGAGAAAGGAGGAAAGGGAGGAAGCGGCGAAGGCACTGGGGATGGAGTTCCAGAGCCTCAGGGCTGAGAGGCTGAAGGCCACCGATGGTAGGGCGGTTGGGGCGGGGGATGTGGAGCAGACCGGAGCCAGAGGAACGGAGGGTACGGGCAGGTAGGTAGGGGGATAGTAGGTCGGAGAGGTAGGAGGGAGCGAGGCCGTGAATGGCCTTGTAGGTGAGGATGAGGATCTTGAAATCGATCCTCTGGGGGATGGGGAGCCAGTGGAGGCGAGCGAGGGCGAGGGTGGGAGGGAGGGCGAGGGTGAGGGTGAGGGCGAGGGTGGGAGTGATGTGGTCTCGGTGTCTGGTGCGGGACAGTACACGAGCTGCAGAGTTCTGAATGACCTGCAGTGTGGAGGGAGGGCCGGGAAGGCCGACGAGGAGAGAGTTCCCATAGTCCAGCCTTGAGGTGATAAAGGTGAGGACCAGAGTTTCAGCCGCGTGAGGGGTGAGGTAGTGCCGTAGTCTGGCGATGTTCCGGAGGTGATGGAAGGCGGTGCCGGTTGTGGTGCGGATATGAGGGAGAAAGGACAGCTCAGGGTCGAACAGAACCCCGAGGTTCCTGATGGCTTTGAGAGGTGGAGAGTGCGGAGCTGATGCTGTCAGCGCCTGAGGTGCGGAGGCGCTGACGTGAGCCAATCAGGAGGGCCTCAGTTTTACGCACGTTGAGCTGAAGAAAGTTGTCTCTCGTCCAGGACTCGATGTCGGACAGACAGCTGTCAGGACATCGGGGGTCGTGGAGTTGAGGGTAGAGGAGGAAAGGTAGAGTTGGGTGTCATCCGCATACATGTGGGAGTGAACCCCATGTCTGCGGATGATGTCACCACAGGGGGAGCATATAGAGGGTGAAGAGGAGGGGACCGAGGACAGAGCCCTGAGGGACACCGCACGAGACAGTGCGGTGGGTGGAGGAAAACCATTCGTGGAAACAAAGTGAAGACGGTGGGAGAGGTACGACCTAAACCACTCAAGGGCAGGGCCTTGAAGGTTGAGGTGGGAGGACAAGCGGTGGAGGAGGATAGCGTGGTCGAACAAGTGGGGCAACGTCTTAAAATTTGAACCAGGCCATTTAGGAGTGAAATCAGAGGCAGTTTTTCACCCAAAGTGTTTATGGGAATGTTACTCTCTCTCTCCCCCAAAAGACTGTGGATTATTGCTGGATCCATTCACAATGTCCAGACGGAGGTGGGTTTGTTAGGTCAGGGAGTCCCTGTAGCTCAGGGGTTAGAGTCCTCGCCTCGCAAGCAAGAGGACTTGGGTTCGATTCCCGGGCGGGTCAGGTCAGGGCGAAACATTGGGCAAGTTTCCCCACCCCCCAACACGCACACACGCGCCTGTTTACCCGCAGTCAGTAGGAACCCGGTTGTTAGTCGATTGGCGGATCACGTTTCCGGGGATAATAATCTCTTCAATAATAATAATATGGTCACTCAATCTGGGGACGTCACCGGGTGCAATTGGCTGCCGAGTTTTGCCCACAAAATACACAGTCACTACACTTTACAGGGTGAAGTGCTTTGAGATGTCTCGACGATGTGATAAGGCGCTGTATCAAATGCAAGGATTATTATTATTTTATGTTATTATATTATATATTATTATTTTGTATTATTGTAGTTATAGTTATTATTATTAAGGGATATTGGGGCAAAGGCTTGTAATTGGAGTCGAGGTTCAGGATCAGCCGTGATCCAATTGAATGGTGGAACAGGCTCAAGGGGCTGAATGGCCTCCTCCTGTTCCTTATAAGGTTCATCTTGTCATAAGTCTCCACTTTGTTGCCTCTAACGGTTTGTCCTCCAGTCCCCGCACTGTCATGTCTGGCGACCCCCAGGGCTCTGTCCTTGTCTCCTGTTTAATATCTCCATGCTCCCCCTCGGTGACATCATCCGCAGATATGGGGTCAACTTCCACATGTATGCGGATGACACCCAACTCTATCTGTCTGCCCCCACCCTCAACTCCAGGGCCACTGCTGTCCTGACAGACTGTCTGTCGGACATCAAGTCCGGGATGAGGGCAACTTTCCTACAGTTGAATGTGAACAAGACTGAGGCCCTCCTGATTGACTCGCGCCAGCGCCTCCGCACCTCGGGCTCCGGCAACATCAACCTCCATAGACCTCCGGTCTGCTCCACGTCCCCCGCCCCAACCGCCCTACCATCGGTGGTCGGGCCTTCAGCCTCTCAGCCCCCAGGCTCTGGAACTCCATCCCCCAGTGCCTTCGCCGCTTCCTCCCTTTCCTCCTTCAAGGCCGGTCTCAAAACCTTTCTCTTTGACCGTGCCTTCAGCTCCGCTCTCGACTCTCTTCCCCCTCCTCGCTCCCTCCCCTCACCCTGACCATTTCCCCCCAATGCTCGGGTCATGACCCAACTGTGCAGCGCCTTGGGACGTCCTCCTGACGTGAAAGGCGCTTTATAAATGGAATCTTGTTGTTGTTGTACACTACAACTCACCAACTCACCGCCAGTCAGGAACCTGGGGGTCTTGTTCAACCCTCAACTGTCTTTTCTCCCCCACATTCAAGCCATGACCCCCTCTGCCTTCCCTCACCTCTGTAACATCGCCCGACTCCGCCACTACCTCACCCCTCAGGCACTGAAACTCTTGTTCATGCCTTCATCACCTCCAGACTCGACTATGCAAACGCCTGTGTGTCGGCCTTCCCAACGCCTCCCTCCACAGCTGCAGATAATCCAGAACTCTGCCGCCCGTGTCCTCTCCCGCACCAAACCATGACCCCATCTCCCCCACTCTCACCCGACTCCATTGGCTCCCTGTCCTTCAGAGGATCCCGTTCAAAATCCTGGTCCTCACCTACAAAGCCCTCCATGGCCTCGCCCCACCCTACCCCCCTGCGACCTCCTAACCCCCAACCAACCCGCCCGCTCCCTCCGCTCAGTCGGCTCCGGCCGCTCCACGTCCCCCGACCCACCCGCCCCACCATTGCGGGAGAGCCTTCAGCCACTCTGCCCCAACCTCTGGAACTCCATCCCCCGGTCACTCCGCCTCACCCCCTCCTCAGTCTCCTTCACGTCCCACCTCAAGACCCTCTTCTTCGACCAGACCATTGGTCACCCCCCCACCCCCTCTGACCATGTGATCTTGTTGTTGTTGTTCAGGTCAAGTCATTCATCCACCAAGTGGCCACTGGTGGCCAACATGAAGCTGTCACTCAGACGGTGGGGAGGCGGGCTATCGCCGAGCCGACCAATCGGAGACGCTCAAGGTCTTGAGGGCGCTGTCCAATCAGAGCGCTTGACCGTGCAGCGAAGGCGGGTCCGGGGCGGGGCGTGAGGAAACCCACCAATGGGAGTGACCGAGAGAACGACCCAATGGGCGCGATCGAGAGAGCGGACCAATGGGCGTGACGGAAAGTACGGACCAATGGGCGTGACCAAGGAGAACGGACCAATGGGAGTGACCGGGCGCTCGGGCTTGCAGACACCGAGCGCGAGCGGTGGCGGTTGACGGCGCGCGAGCGGAGCGTGTGTTGTCTCTCTCTCTCGGGCTCCTGGTGCAGCTCCGCCGTGGGGACACACACAAGCCGCCGCGACGAGCAGCTCCGCAGTGGGGACATAAGCTGCAGCTCGCATCAGGTCTGCCGCGGGGGCCACACACACACACGAAGCAGCTCCGCCGTGGGGCCCTCACGCCTTCCCCGGGTTCCTGTCGCCGCCAGCAGCCAGGGACGGAGTGAGAGAGAGGGGGAGGGAGCGTGAAGGCGCAAGGGAGTGAGGGAGGAGAGGGGAGTGAGGGAGGAGAGGGGAGTGAGGGAGGAGAGGGGAGTGAGGGAGAGAGGGAGGAGAGGGGAGAGAGGGAGGAAGGGAGTGAGGGAGAGAGGGAGGAGAAGGAAAGAGGAAGGGAGAGGTAGAGGAGAGAGAGAGGGAGTGAAGGAGGGAGGGAGGAGAGGGAGAGTGCAGAGGAGAGGGAGAGAGTGATAGAGTGATAGAGAGAGTGGGAGCAGAGGAGAGTGATAGAGAGAGAGTGATAGAGAGAGAGAGTGGGAGCAGAGCGGGAGGGAGAGAGGAAGGGAGAGTGATAGAGAGAGAGGGGGAGGGAGGCCGCCGCCGCCGCCATGATCCACAGTCTGTTCCTCATCAACGCCTCTGGCGACATCTTCCTGGAGAAACACTGGAAAAGCGCCGTCAGCCGCTCGGTCTGCGATTACTTCTTCGAGGCCCAGGAGAAGGCGAGTGAGAGCGAGAATGTGCCGCCCGTCATCCCCACTCCGCACCACTACCTCATCAGCGTCTACCGCCACCGCATCTTCTTCGTGGCCGTCATCCAGACCGAGGTCCCGCCGCTGTTCGTCATCGAGTTCCTGCACCGGGTGGTGGACACCTTCCAGGTGAGGACCCCCCCCACACACTAACAGCCCCCCCCACACACACACTGACTAACAGCCCCCCACCCCACACACACAAACAGCCCCCACACACACACACTAACAGCCCCCCCCACACACACACTGACTAACAGCCCCCCACCCCACACACACAAACAGCCCCCACACACACACACTAACAGCCCCCCCCACACACACACTGACTAACAGCCCCCACCCCACACACACAAACAGCCCCCACACACACACACTAACAGCCCCTCCCCCCCACACACACACTAACAGCCCCCCCCCCCCACACACACACTAACAGCCCCCCCCCCCACACACACACAAACAGCCCCCCCCACACACACACACTAACAGCCCCCCCCCACACACTAACAGCCCCCCCCCCCACACACACACTACACACACACTGACTAACAGCCCCCCCCCACACACACAAACAGCCCCCCACACCACACACTAACAGCCCCCCCCACACACTAACCAACAGCCCCCCCACCCCACACACTGACTAACAGCCCCCACACACACACACTGACTAACAGCCCCCCCAACACACTAACACCCCCCACACACTAACACCCCCCCCCACACACACACACACACACTAACACCCCCCACACACTAACACCCCCCCCACACACACACACACACACTAACACCCCCCCCCACACACTAACAGCCCCCCCCATACACACACTAACAGCCCCCCACACACACACTGACTAACAGCCCCCCCCACACACACACACTAACAGCCCCCCACACACACACACACTAACAGCCCCCCCCCACACACACTGACTAACAGCCCCCCCCACACACTAACACCCCCCACACACTAACACCCCCCACACACTAACACCCCCCACACACACTAACACCCCCCCCACACACACTGACTAACAGCCCCCCACACACACACACACACTAACAGCCCCATATGATGCATTTGATATTAAGACGCCCTCAAAGTGTTTCCCACGACTATACTTTAGGAGCAGAGGAGTAGGCCAACAGGGCCTCGGGCCTGTCCTGCCGTCCTATTAATAATAGTCGTCGTTGCATTTGATAGGGCGCCTTATCGCCTTTGAGACGTCTCAAAACGATATACTGTAAAGCGTAGTGACTGCGTACTTTGCGGCAGCCAATTACGCACAGCAGCGTTCCCACAAACAGTCGTGGATTGAGTGACTAATTTATTCGAGTAAGGAAACCTGCCTGAGGTTTCGTCCGGACCTGACCCGCCTGGGAATCGAACCCGGGTTCTCTCGCTTGCGAGGCGACGGCTCTAACCGCTGAGCTACAGGGATCATGATGTTGACTGTTGTGATCATGAACCCTGAATGCACAAAAGAGCCCCATTTCCTTAACAGCGGGGTGTGGGGTGGTGGGTGGGGAAAGAAGAATAAAGGAATGTGTTTGTTAGGTAAATAAGTGCATTTCACGCTAAGCCTCGGAGCTATAGAACAAACCGGCTTTTGAGATCCTTACTCAACAACACCAACTCGCACTTACATAGCGCCCTTCACGAGGGGCATTGTCCCCGGAGCGCTTGGCCGTGCGGAGTCTGACTCAGTAAATGGTTATTGGTAATCCGGGCCCACACTGTTCTTGAGGTTTCATGTGATGTCTGGTTATCATGTGACAAAGCAATCAGCAGACACATAACATTGAGTTGATCTATTGCCTGCTCACCGCTTTGTCATAAGATAAGTGGATAATAATAATAATAATCCTTGATTTTGATATAGCACTTTTCATGTCTTCCAGACATCTCAAAGCGCTTCACAGAATACACTGTTAAGTGAATTGACTGCATTTTTGTGGGCGAAACGTTTGTAGTGCACTCTCATGGCAGTGATTGAGACACCTCGAAGACGCGATAAGGCGCTATATCAAATGCAAGGATTATTATTGTCTCGAGACTAAGATGACGCTCCCGTGTCAGAGCATGTGGATTCGGGGGGAAAGTAGCAGAATGGATAGCAAGCTGGCTACGGACAAAAAGAGTGAGGGTAAAGGGTAGCTACTCGGACAGGCAGAGGGTGGGAAGTGGTGTTCCACAAGAATCGGCATTGGGACCCAGTGTTGTCCACAATTTACATTAACGATTTGGACTCGGGGATCGAAAGTAGAATTTCAAAAAAAATTTGCAGAAGACACCAAATTGGGGGTGTTGCTAATACTGAGGAGGACTGCAACCAAGATACAACTGGAAGAGCTAATTTCAGTGAGTTAAAAAGGGACCTAGCCAAAGTGGACTGCAAAGAACGATTGACAGGTAAAACAGCTAAAGAGCAATGGGAAGCCTTCAAGGAGGAGATAGTTCAGGGAACAGAACAAATACATTCCCACAAAGGGGAAAGGTAAGGCATCCAAACTTCCCTGGATGAATAAGGAAGGGATTAAAATAAAACAGAAAAAGGAGGTCTATGGTAAATGTCAGGACCAAAATACAGAAGATAATCAAAAAGAATATAAAAAGTACGAAAACTGAGAAAGGAAAAAGGGGGCAAAGAGATTGTATGAGAAAAAGATTAGTGGGTAACATAAAAAGGAATCCTAATGTATTTTATAAGCATATAAAGAATAAAAGGTTAGTCAAAAGTAGGGTGGGACCAAAGAGGAAATCTTCTTGTGGAGGCAGAGAGCACGGCTGATGTACTGATGTACTTTGCATCTGTCTTCACAAAAGAAGAGGATGCAGCCAATGCCACAGTATCGGAGGAGAGGAGAGAAATTGGATAAGATAAGAATAAACTGAGAGGAGGTACGAAAAAGGTTGTCAGTGCTCAAGGTAGATAAGTCACCCGGTCCGGATGGGATGCATCCTAGGTTCCTGAGGGAAGTGAGGGTGGAAATAGCAGAAGCTCTGGCCACAATCTTTCAATCCTCCTTGGTGATGCCAGAGGACTGGAGGGTTGCAAATGTTACTCCCCTGTACAAAAAAAGGGGAGAAGGATAAGCCAATCAGCCTAATGCCAGTAATGGGGAAACTTCTAGAGATTATAATCGGGTCCATATTATAGAAAGGCTATAGAGGCACTGGAGAAGGTGCAAGGGAGATTTACAAGGATGATAACTGAGGTTATACCTATTAGAAAAGGCTGAACAAGCTAGGAGTCTTTTCTTTTGAAAAGAGATGGGTGAGGGGTGACTTAACAGGGGGTCTTTAAAGTTCTGAAAGGTTTTGATAAGGTAGACGTAGAGAAGATGTCTCCACTTGGGGAGACCAAAACCAGGGGCCATCAATATAAAAGTCACCAATAAATCAAATAGGGAAGTCAGAAGAAACTTCTTTACCCAAAGAGCGGTGGGAATATGGAACTTGCTATCACAAGGAATAGTTGAGGCCAATATGTATTTAAGGGGGAAAAAAATAATAATCCTTGCATTTGATATAGCGCTTTTCATGTCTTCCAGACTTCTCAAAGCGTTTCGCAGAATATACTATAAAGTGACTGTATATTTGTGGATGAAACATGGCAGCCAATTGCGCACAGCAGTGTCCCACGGATAGTTTTGGATTGATATGCCCAATTTATTATTTTTTGTTGTGGGATTATTGTCAGGCATGTAAGACTGATGGGGCAAGGAAACTTGACATTGCTGTGCGTTTCATCCACAAAATACACAGTCAACCACTTTGCAGTACATCCTGTGAAGTGCTTTGAGATGGTTTGATGATGTGAAAAGGTTCTAAAAATGCAATAATTATTATGATGGTGTTTAAAAGCTACCAGCTGTCTGTTTTCCAAAACTGCTTTGCCATCATTAAAGGCGTTGGTTCATATATTTCATCTCTTTTTCCCAACTCTGCGATGTGTAGACATACAGATTTGGTAAACCAAGATAATTTTAAACTTCTAGAAACCTTGTGCTCAAAATGTATTGTTCTAACTATGTTGCTTTGCTTTTTATATCTTAGTTAAAGATCTATCTCCCTCTATCTCAGTTCAATACATATGCTGACTGCGTGTTGTGTTACCAAACTCGGTGATAGTTCCACGGCTTAAAGAATACTCGGCATTGTTGATTGTTTAAATTGCAGTTAAAAACAACAACAACAAGATTCCATTTATAGAGCGCCTTTCACATCGGGAGGATGTCCCAAGGCGCTGATTGCAAAAACAGATTGCAATGATAGGGTGTAACATTCTGGTGAATTTGTGCCTTGCCTCATTGTTGTTGGTTGTATTCCAGGCAAGTGATGATGTTATTTGATCTTCTCGCTAGGACTATTTTGGAGTCTGTTCAGAAGTAGCGATCAAGGACAATGTTGTGGTTGTCTACGAAGTCTTGGAGGAGATGTTGGACAATGGCTTTCCATTGGCAACAGAGTCCAACATCCTTAAGGAGCTGATAAGGCCACCTACCATCCTCCGCACTGTCGTCAACACCATCACTGGTACGTAAACCCTGGGATGGCCTCCCGATGTGAAAGATGCTGTACAAATGTAATGTTGGTCGTTGTTGTTGTCTTGTAAAAAGTGTTGAAATTACAAAATGGCCACCAACGTAATCTAGCCAAGATCCATGCGAACTTTAGAAATTGGATCCCAAGGTTCAGTAACTAGACAGATTAGCACCCAGTTATAACCTGCTTCATTATATTAATAGTTTACTTATATTTCGAGCAGGGGACCCTGACATTCTCTGAGCTGTGTTGGGATGGGTAATTTTACCTTTTCTTTTTTTCTAACGTTTCTCCTTGAATTGAAAGGATGTGCGTCGTGCTTGGGAAAAGGATCTGTTTTATATTGCCAACCAAGCTTTGATTGGGACATTTGGGAGGGACTGTTTTTCAACGTAACTCGAGGTTCTTCTGGCACACGGAGAAATGAGCTACAGTGACTTCCTGTCACTTTCAAAGCCCCCAGAGTCTCGCTGACCCCCTCCCCACTTCTCTGACCCCCTATCCCCATATCAGCCTCTCCGCTCGGTGAACACGTACCTGCTTCAGATCCCCCGCACTTCCTGCCCCACCATTGTCGGTCGGGGATTCAGCACCTCTGCCCCCACACTCTGGAACTGTATCCCGCAATCCCTCCACCTCACCTCACCCCGTCTCGTGCTTCTTTCAAGTCCTGTCTAAAGACCTTCCTCTTTGACCGTGCCTTCGGCCACCCCTCCTGACCCCAACTCCCACCTTGGCTCCAAAAACCCCAGACTATCCAGCGCCCTGGAACTTCTTTCCGACGTGAAGGGTGCTGTACAAGTATAATTTGTTGTTGTTCTTCACTGCTTTATATTTCTCTTGACACTGTCTTGCAGGTGGTACCAATGTTGGAGACACGCTTCCTACAGGGCAGCTATCTGTGGTGCCCTGGCGCCGGATGGGAGTGAAATACACCAACAACGAGGCCTATTTTGACGTGGTCGAAGAGATTGATGCAATCATTGACAAATCAGGTACACACGTACACATTTGGAGCTTCCCCAGGGGGTAGAGCAGGAGCTAAACACTTGTACTCCACTGCTATCTACAGGAAGTCGATGTCATTCGTAGGAATAGTTTTCTGACATCTGGGGTATCATGTAGCTCAGCGGTTAGAGCGCTTGCCTCCCAAGCGAGAGATCTGGGTTTGATTTCCGGTCAGGGTGAAATGTTGGACACGAGTACTCCACATTTCTCTGTTTACCAAGCAGTAAGTAGAAACCCGGTTGTTGGCGGATGGCTTTTCTGGAGTAATAATTCCTTAATAAAATAAATAAATCGGGTTACTCAATCCATTGGCGGATCGCTTGTGGGACACCGCTGTGCGCAATTGACTGCCGGGTTTGGCCCACGAAGTATACAGTCAATTCACTTTACAGTATATTCCATGAAGCGCTTTGAGACGCGATAAGGCGCAATATCAAATTCAAGGATTATTATTATCATCTCATGCTCCTGGGATATCACAAAGGATGGTGACTATCAAACCTTGCCACTCCATTCAGCTTTTTCAAACACTGCTCTGTTTTGACCTTGATCAAATAACAGCTAGTATTGTTTTCTTTTTCCTCTCTTGTGTTATCACACTCTTTGTTAGTGTCGCTGCAAGATGTTTATCTGTTGCCACACCTCTGTCAGTGTTGATTTTGGGAGCTGTATGAGAGCTCTGTGCCTTCCCGTTGGGAAATGGCTGGCCACTGTTCAGCAGCTGCCTGTGACAATCCTGGTGGATTTACAGCCATCGCATCAATCTGTAGTTACGTGCCATTGCCCCACCCTTACAAATGTCACATTTCAGCACATCGGTTAATGCACCCATAAATTTGTCTCGAGTCTTCTCTAATATATGGGGACATAGGAATAAGAGTAGGCCATTCAGCCCCTAGAGCATGTTCCACCATCTATTAGATAGTACTGTAACTCAACTTAAAATATAATTTAATAATATGACTTTGAAGCTGCCAGAACAATTATTTGTGGTTTGGAACTCCAGCTCACAGTCCCTTCAACTTGCTCCCTCCTTTACCTCCTTCAAGGCACGTCTCACCCTCCTACTCATACCCTCAGTGGCTTCCACATCTCCCAGTCCCAACCCCTTGCTCGGGTCCAAATCCCTGAATATGCACAGAATGTATAGAAGTCACAGAATATACTGCAAAGTGAATTGACTGTATATTTTGTGGGCGAAACGCGGCAGCCAATTGCGCACAACAGTGTCCCACAAACAGTCGTGGATTGAAGTGACCAATCTTATTTTTTGGAAGGAATTATTACCCCCGGAACGCGATCTGGAAATCAACTAACAACCTACTGACTGCTGGTAAACAGAGGCGTGTGGAGTAAGGAAACTTGCCCAACGCTTTGTCCTGCTTGGGTATCAAATACACAGGTCTCTCCCTTGCGAGGCGAGTGCTCTAACCACTGAGCTACAGGACTCCACAATGCCATTCATTATGGGTGAACGTAACAAAGCTGTAATTCAATCTCGGGACTTAGGTAACCTGGAGGCTTTGCTCTACGGTTCAGGACATCATTTGATCACCTTGATCAAATAACTGCTTGTTCCAAGCCATCCAGAGTACTGCTGGTAATAAAGCACTGACTCCAGCAATGTTTGGGGAATGCTGATTACCATCTGTTGGCTATCTTTCTCTCTCTCTCCCACCCTCCCCTCGCCCCCACACACACACACACACACTTTTTTTAGGGTGTTCCTGAGTTCTTACTGAACCCTCTTCACCCACTCTACAAAAGCAGTCACTACGTAGACTGTGTGGTGGTTAGCGGGCTCGCTTCTCAAGCGACCTGGATTCGATTCCCAAGCAGAGTTTCCTTACTCCGTGCACAGGCCTCTGTTTACCTAGCAGTGAGTAGGAACCTGGTGGTTAGTCGAATGATGGATCACTTAACCTCTTCAAATAAAAATCAATAATAAGTTGGTTGCCTCAATCCACGACTGTTTGGGGGACGCTGCTTGTGTGCGCAATTGGCTGCCACGTTTCGTCCACAAGACTATACTGTCAATTCACTTTACAAGCGTGTTGAGACGTTTCAATGATGCGACATGGCGCTGTGTCAAATACAAGGTTCAATATTATTTGGCAGTAATTACCTGCGGCATGCTTTGAGATGTTTAACATTACGGGTGCTGTATTTTTATTATAATTGTGTGTTGCAGCACTTTGTGGTGGGGCTGTTTTAGAGTGTCCTGCGTTGTTGAGTGTCCTTTCTTCTTTAGGCTCAACGGTGTTTGCAGAAATACAAGGCGTTATTGATGCTTGTGTGAAGCTGACCGGAATGCCAGATCTCACTCTCTCCTTCATGGTAATTTTTATTTAATACAATAATTTCTCCTTTGGTCACCCTACACCCCTCTTGATCTCAGCCCCTGACTGTCCAGCACCTTGGGACGTCCTCCCGACATGAAAGGCACCGTGTAAATGTCATTTGTTGTTGTTGAGTCTGGTTTAACATTGACCTGGATTTGACGTAATGCAGGTTTCTCATTGAGCATCTCTCCATTTTGCCAACTGCAGAATCCCAGGCTCTTGGATGACGTCAGTTTCCACCCATGTGTCCGATTCAAGCGGTGGGAATCTGAACGAATTCTTTCCTTCATTCCACCCGATGGAAACTTCCGCCTCCTGTCTTACCACGTTAGTTCCCAGAAGTAAGTAGCTCTCTCCTGGAAGATACCTCCAGTATATTCTGCGACGGGCTTTGAGACGTGATAAGGGGGTATATCAAATGCAAGGATTATTATTCACCTGATGTTACTTACAGTGGTTGATGCTGAATCCAGGATCCTGTGAGTTAGATGTTGATTGCTGAAACCTCATACAAATCAGAGTAACAAACAACACCAGCAATGGCCTGGTGCTGCGTTGCTTTATTGACGTGGCTTGTGAGCAGATGGTGAACACTAGCGCTGACCAAATTGGTCATTTACTGTATAGCTGTTTCAAAGACCTTACAAGTGCAAGTGGCTGCCTTCTTGTGGTATCCTGTAGCTCAGTGGTTAGAGCACTCGTCTCGCACGCGAGAGACCTTGGTTCGATTCCCAGCAGGGTGAAATGTTGGGCAAGTTTCCTTACTCCACACACCTAGTAGTAAGTGGGAACCCGGTTGTTAGTCGATTGGTGCATCGGTTTTCTGGTGGTGATAATTCTTAAAAAAAAAAAAAAATTGGTCACTTCAATCCACAGCTGTTTGTGGGGACGCTCCCGGTTTGCCCACAAAATACACAGTCAATTCACTTTACAGTATATCCTGTGAAGCGCTTTGAGACATCTCGAAGACGTGGTAAGGCGCTGTATCAAATGCAAGGATTATTATTATTATTGACACTTGACAGCAGTTTCCTGTGAAGTACTTTGAGCTGTTTTGTTGTAGGCGCTCTATCAAATGCAAGAATTGCTATTATAAAGTCTCTGTGTGTCTGTCTCTCTGTGTTTGTGTGTCTGTCTGGCTGCCTGCTTCTATCTGTGTGTGTCTGTGTCAGCTTCTTTATAAAGCATCACATTGATTATCTGATTTTTGTCTTGGGTGAAACATTTGCTGTTGCATCAGGCTCCAGGACACACTGACCTTGTTTATTGTTGCTGAGTTTTATTGCATCTGTGCATTGCTCTCTGGGAACAGCTTCTGGTCTTGATACAGGTTCAGGGCTAAGATGTCTCCTGTGACAGCAATTCATTAATAATAATCCTTGTGTTTGATATAGGGACATATCACGTTTTCAAGGCATCTCAAAGCACTTCACGGAATATACTGTAAAGTGAAATGACTATATTTTATGGGCGAATTAAGCAAGACATCCACGGGCAACATTCTCAACGTTCATAAAGTATTGATTGACATGATGTGCATTCTTTTACGAGTGATTAAGTAACATTGATCAATGCCACAGCAACGTGATGAATTATGCTGTTGAGGTGATTTTGTGACCAGCCTCTGTTATGAATTATTACCGATGGAAAATGAATTCCTTTGCTCACCTAAATTTCTCAGGTTAAAATACTAATAATAATCCTTGCATTTGATGTAGCGCCTTATCACGTCTTCGAGACAACAACATCATCAACACGGATCAAACAACAACTTGCATTTCATGTAGTGTCCCTCACGCAGTGTAGCGTCCCAGAGCGCCTGACGTTGGGAATTGTTCCAATGTTCCTCGTCTGATGGTGGCTCTGATGTCGAGGTCGCCTCATCTTGCACGTCCGAACAGCGTGTTAACTGTGGCGATGATTTGTTTCAGTTGAATTTGAAAGATCAGGAGGCGATTGTCGAGACACCTGCTTTGTTGCTTGAACTCATCCCCTCATGTTAGTTAACATGTCCACAAATGCAAAATGCTGTCTGCGGGGTTGGTTTCAAAGCCTCACACCTGTTCGTTGACTTCTTGCAGTTTAGTGGCAATTCCCGTCTACGTGAAGCATAACATCTCCTTCCGTGACGGCAGCTCCATGGGCCGCTTCGAGATCACCATTGGCCCGAAGCAAACCATGGGCAAGATGGTGGAGGGGAACAACGGTGACTAGCCAATTGCCAAAGGTCGTCCTGAACATGAATCTTACAGCCTCTCAGGGCAACCACACCTTTGACCCTGTCACTAAGGTAACCAGAGGAAAACCACATCACTACCACAACAACTTGCATTTATATAGCACCCCTCACACAGGGTAGCGTCCCAGAGCGCTTACCACAAGCTTTTATTAAGACGGCCACTTTTTCCAATAAAAAATAAGAATAATCCTTGCATTTGATATGGTGCTTTATGACGTCTTGAGACTCTCAAAGGGCTTCACAGAATATCCTGTGAAGTGAATTGGCTGTATGTTCTGTGGGCGAAATGCGGCAGCTAATTGCGCACAGCAGTGTCCCCACAAACAGTGGGCTGGGTGACCCAAGTTATTATGATTTAATTTTTGAAGGGATTATTATCCCAGGAAAAATGATCCGTCAATCCAGCCTTTGATCACTTGGGGCCGTCCTGGACTTAATAATGAAATGCTGGTTGAGTCAGGAATAGACTACAGAACAAAAGTGGACACGGTCAATTTAATCAGACATCCATAGTTTAATCTCAACATAAATCATGAATACATTGAGCGAGCTATCTGATTTGCCAGGAGTACGATAGCCTTGTAAGTGAGGTAATTGAGGAGCGTACCTTGCTTGGAATGAGGCATAGGTTCTAGTCTGCTTTGATCCAGAAAGTTGTGCCATGTACCTGAGTGTTTTGGTTCAGGCGGTTGGGATTATGCAAGGAGGAAAAGAATAAAACCTGATTTGGTGGCTTTTGTTTTCTGGAGCGTGTGTTTTTTGTTATTCTGGCACTTGTTAAGTTTTTACACACAATGACATCCCTCCACTTCCTTTCCCAAGTGATTATTTGAGTAAGTTATTATTAAGTGCTCGGGGTGCTACCCCACGTGCTATATAAATGTTGTTGTAGTAGTAAAATGCTAGTTCTGACTATATGTGTCCTTCAAAAACATTCCTTTGGCTGGGACACTTTTACGTAAATTTAGGTTCCACAAGCTGTATAAACTGTTTGCTTGCTTCAGTTATTTGTCTCATTCTGGTTCCAGGCTGTGTTTATCCAGCAGTAAGTTGGAACCCAGTTGTTAGTCGATTGGCGGATCGCTTTTCCAGGGGTAATAATTCCTTCCAAAAAATAATAATAAATTGGTCAGTCAAACCAAGGCTCTTTGTGGAACGCTGCTGTGCGCAATTGGCTGCGTTTCAACCACAAAATATGACTTCACAGCATATTCTATGAAGCGCTTTGAGACACCTCGAAGACGTGATGAGGTTCTATATGAAATGCAAGGATTATTATTAAACTGTGCTGTGGTGTATTGTTGGTCTGTATGCAGATACTAACGTGGGATATTGGGAAGATCAACCCCCAGAAGCTGCCCAGCCTGAAAGGCACGATGAGTCTGCAAGCAGGAACCCCGAAACCAGACGAGAACCCCAACATAAGCATCCAGTGCAAGATCCAGCAATTGGCCATCTCTGGTAAGCTGTGCAGAAACGCTCCCTCTCCACCGTGTTCTTTCAGAGCATTTTTGCATTTAAGCTGTATGGGTGTCCTGTAGCTCAGTGGTTAGAGCACTCGCCTCGCAAGCGAGTGAGACCTGGGTTCAAATCCTTACAGGGTGAAACGTTGGGCAAGTGTTCTTACTCCACGCACCTCTGTTTACCAGCAGTAAATAGGAACCCGGTTGTTAGTCGATTGGCGGATCACTTTTCCAGGGGTAATAACTTCTTCAAAAAGAAACAATAAAAATAATAATAAATGAGTCGCTCATTCCACAACTGTTTGTGGGGACGCTGCTGTGCGCAATTGGCTGCTGCATTTTCGCCCACAAAATATACAGTCAATTTGCTTTACAATGTATCCTGTGAAGCGCTTTGAGACGTCTCGAAGACGTCGTAAGGCTCTATATCAAATCCCAGGATTATTATTATGTTTGTTATTATGTGACGGAGCCTAGGTTCCATGTCCAATGAGATTCATTTGCCTGCCGTCCAGCATGGAACCATAGCTTTTCGCTGATGTGGCTTTTATCTCGTTCCCAGGTCTGAAGGTGAATCGACTGGACATGTACGGAGAGAAATACAAACCGTTCAAAGGCATCAAGTACATGACCAAAGCTGGGAAATTCCAAGTCCGGACATAATGCATGTGTCCAGCAAAGAGTTTGCTTGTTGTGGTGCATTGATTCTTTCTCTTCCTCCTCCCACCCCCCCTCCTCCCCGGACATTTTTCCTAACTGGTGATTCAGGCAGCTCGGTGGTTTAGCTTTCTGGGTTGCTTTTGTCACTAGTAGGTCTTGGGGTGGGCTGAAGGTTTGGCCCTGGTACGATTCTAAGATTATGTGGTGTTTTGAATATCTTGGAATGTCTTTTTCCCCCATATGCCCCCCCCACTGGTACCACTAAATTTCACTCCAAGTCTATGAGATCCAGCCTGTTCTTAATTCACCAATGTTCTGTTTCTGCAGAGCAGGTGAATACAGCAGTGCAATGCTAAAACATTGCACCGTTTGATGTTACAGTTTTTATTTACACAGTCAGAATACCAGGAAAACATTCAATGAAAGAGAGGTCTGTGACCTGGCTGTTATCTGTTACCCAAACCTTCTGAAGCTGCCCCCCGACTCATCTAGGCGTGCAATGTGATGTATTTTGTTTTAAGGGTGACCATTTTTTTCCCCTCTATTTCTCCCAATTATTGAACAACCCTTCCTTACACAGAGTGCAAGGCGAATTTGTATTGTGGTGAGCTGGGTGTCCACTTCCTCGTGAATCTAGTACGTAAGTGTTATTGAGCGCGCAGACTCCAAATATGCCCGGATCCCGTGTCTGCCTTGTATGGATTAGGTGCAATGGAATGCTTTATTTTTTATTTAAAACAGAAAGGAGCTTGCAGTGGTAGCAGAATCTTTTTTTCGATTTTTTTTTTTGTCTCGCAATTAAGCGGTGATGGGCTGCTTGCCTCCCCTCGCAATATTCTCCAGAGCAGGTCCGTAGATTTTAAAAGTACTGTGATGTGTTGTGAGTTACCCCACGTCGCTGTTGATATTAGAGGAAGGCACGAAATTCGGAAACAACCGTGTCAGGGCTTCTTCGTAACTTGCAAGTGGTAGTGTGTAGGCGCGGAATGTTTGTGTAACCCGTAAATGTCATGTTTCTGGAAGGGAAACAAAACTATTGCTTAAGTGGCCCACGCAGTTTCTCAAATGATAGCATCCTCAGCAGCCAAAAGTTTGCCCCCCATCCCCCACCTGGTATGTATAAGAACTGTTCAGAGCCCCAATTTTAATGGCCATGGTTTGACGATGTCTGTGTGTTACCAGTGGCTAACCTGAATATTGTCTTGTGTATTTCATGAAGCTAGTTGTAGTGAAAGGCATAAGCTCACTGTGTTATAGCCCAGGGTGCTAACACGGTTGCATCAAATTCCCAAAGGCTTGAAATTGTAGCTGACTGCTCTATGTTACAGCAGAACCTGTCCACAACTGTGTTTCATCCACAAAATACACAGTCAATGCAAGGATTATTATTATTATTCATTAATATTGTGGAGAATTAATAATAATCCTTGCAATTGATACAGGGCCTTATCCCGTCTTTGAGACGTCTCAAAGTGCTTCACAGGACACACTGTAAAGTGTAGGTACTGTGTATTTTCTGGGCGAAACGAGTCAACCAATTGGTGGTCTGCGGTGTGAGAATGATCAGAGTGGCTTCGTAACCAAGGACCAAACACTAACCGCTGGAGACTGCAATGAGATCCCTGAATATTCCTGCTCCGGCCACAAAAAAAACCTTCTGTGAAAAACACAGTCTTGCTGCTGATACACTGAGGTGATGAGATCTTCGGCTTAAAAAAAAATGAGATCAAATTGACTTCAGTTGAGTTTAAATGCGGGTTGCGGGAGATTTGCTGCTGTTCTGGTATGAAAGCCGGGTGTCACCCACACTGTTCGGTGGCCGGACTGAGAGCTGGTCCTCAGGAAGCGCTCGCTCGGGCGGCTTTGAAGTGTTTGTTTGGTTTGTTTGATGGTTTGGCTCAGGTCGGTCCAACCTTTTTTGGATTTGAGAAATGTCCGTGGGCCTCATTAGCAATATTTTCTGATTGACGGGTCCCTTTGCTGGGCAGGGCCTGAGCCACTAATGACCGACTCCTCATTGGCTCGGGACCTGCGTCTTGCCTGCATTTTGCTCAGTGGTCAATGAAGTTGGGAATGGCTCGCGGGCTGGATGAAACCTCCCCCCCCCCACCCCACCCCCGGGGGCCGGATGCGGCCCGCGGGCCACCCCGGCTGGTTCAGTCAAAGTGTGAAAAGTGCCGTCTTTTCAGGCTGTAAATCTTTAACTGAAGATTCATGGACTTGGCACGTAAGAGAATGGATTTTTCTTTCCTTCGCGTGAAGAAATCCTGCGAGTTTTGCGCCCGTGACCGGCTTTACAAGGTTCTCGCTGACTGTTCAGATGACAGAGGTCTGTGATGCAGTTCTATTCCGAGATGGATTGCTTAAAGAGAATTACTCACTTCGTGTTAGTAACAACCTGGCGATGTTGAGTCGATCACTTGGATGTTTAGTTCTCTACTCAGTCAGCTAGATTGCTTAAAGAGTAGGGAGGGAGCAGAAATATAACCATATAAGATAACTTGCATGTTAGCAGTGTGATTGCCTGCCTCTCGTCTCACTAATGTAGCACCCGTGTGCTTCTTGTTCCCCACTTCCTTCCTCTTCCTTACCCTTGGGGAAGAATACAGCAGACGCCAGGCTTCTCTATCTCTCCATTTCTCCCGTATTTTTGAGTGAACGTACCGTATGGCTTTGGAGGATCCTTTTGAAAGCAGGCGGGAAGCGCAGTTCATCCTGACCTGACCTGGTGGAGTTCAACTTTTCCCACGATTCCTTGAGCAGCTCCGTTCAGGAATAAACGCAAGAGAATCTACCGAATAAGCAAGCCATCAAACTGAGTGTGTAGAAATGTCCGAAGCTGTGCTTAAGAAAAAAAATAGTGGGAATCAATGCCCCTTTTCACTCTCATTCTCTCTCTTTTCACCTTATCCTGATGCCTTTTGCGAGTGTGACAGAGGGTAAATCTGTCCTTGTCCCCTCAGCCCGCAGTGGGCTTGTGGGCAGAATTGTGAACTGTTGTTATTTATTCTCTGGGAGCAATTATTGTATTTGAAGATCGACTGGTGTGATGTGACGTGCCCACGAGGCAGGGCTTGGTGTTGAGCGCCCTGCACTGTTCTGTCGTGGAGAGAGCATAAATAATCTTTGCCGTGAGCGAACCTATCAAAATGTTTTACAAAATTAAGTGCGGTGAAATGTTGGACCCAATCAGAGCTGCCGCGGAATATTAAACTGTCTCGTTAAACCACTCTCTTGGCTGTGTGACATTCCCAAACCAAACCAACGGGTCCTCACCACTATCACTAGACCCCACGTCAACAACAACAACAACTAGATCGTTTGACTGTGGCAGAGCATGACGCAGAGCCGGGGGAGGGAGGGGGGAGGTGACCGTAGGCACAGGTCAAAGAGGAAGGACTTCAGGCAAGATCCGAAGATGGGGAAGGAGGGGCGAGGCGGAGGGATAGGGGGAGAGAGTGACGAGAGTTTTGAGGCGCAGTGGCTGAAAGTGCGGCCACCGATGGTGGAACGGAGGAGGGCACGAGGGACAAGCAGGAGACTGGAGCCAGTCGAGGGAGGCAGTGGGTAGTGGGTTGGGGGGTGAGCGGGTGGGAGAGGTCGGGAGGTGCCAGGGCGTGAAGGGATTTGAAGATGAATGTGAGGATCTTGAAATCGATCTGTTTGGCGTCGGGGAGCCAGTGCTCTCGTGGTCTCTGCTACCAACTCCCACATCCTGTTTCTGTTCCCCACCAACGTCTACACGGGCTCAGTTTGGGCCTTTTACGCTAATCTCAGTTCCCTTGTCTTGCAAAGCTAAATATTCAGCTTACGCGCCTCGCTTCCTCAGTCGTCACCCTTTCCCCCGTTGCTTTCCATGGCATATTGGTCCTGGAAAAGTTTGACAGCCTTTCACACCTTTCCCCCCGGACAAACTGTTTATCCCTCACCCTTCACAATAAAGGAAGGCAACATCATACAAACTCTGTAGCCTTGACGCTCCCTCTCTCGCCCCACGCAATTCCTGTGCACATTTACTCCTAAATTCAATTATTGTTATATTGCAATTATATACCTAATTGAGGTCGAGCCTACGACCTTCCTCTTCCGCAGGTGGCCTGCGGTCACCTCCCCTTCTCCCGGCTCAGTGTCCTGCTCTGGGAAGCTACCCTGTGTGAGGGGCGCAACATAAATGCAAGTTAAGTAGGATAGGACCAGATAGAGGTGACTGGATCCACAGTCGTTAGAGGAAATGTACCAAACCTGCTCGTAAAAATGTTTTCGGCAAACCTCATTAAGCGCGGAACAAAACCGGTGCTCGTACAGGCAGATACCCTGGGGGAAGGTGACCGTGGGCACAGTCGAGGAGGAGGGCGAGGCGGAGGGATAGAGGGAAGAGAGTGACGAGTTTTGGAGCGTAGTGGCTGAAAGCGCGGCCGCCGGTGGTGGAACAGAGAGCATTGACCTGAAACCTTAACTCACTTTCCTTTCTCCGTAGATGCTGCCTGATCTGCCGAGTGCTGTTCCCAGTCATTTATGTTTCTATTTCAGATTCCAGCGTCTGCAGTATTTTGCCTTTTCTTAAAATTCAAATAAGATAATTTGTGTGCAACTCAGCTGGGTTTGGGTGCCAAAAAAAATGCTTGCGATAATCCTGGGATAATAATCCCTCAAGAAAAAAAACCAATAATAAAATCAGTCACTTCAACCCACGACTGTTTGTGGGGACGCTGCTGTGCGCAATCGGCTGCTGCATTTCGACCACAAAATATACAGTCAATTCACTTTACAGTGTATCCTATGAAGTGCTTTGAGATGTCTCGAAGATGTGATAAGGCGGTGGGTCAAACGCAAGGATTATTCTATTTTGAATATGAAATTGTGGTCAAAATCGGTGGCGAGCTGCTCGTAAATACTTCAGCGAACGATGGGGATGAAATCACATAAAGGGTGGATGGACGTATTGTTTTTACTTCCAATTTCCTGACGATCCACAAGAGGTCTCCCTTTCACTTATTTTTGCCCGGCCGGGTGTCCGACGCACACGGAAACCCATCACTGTGGCTTAAGAGTCTCCAAACCCGAGCTGAGAATTCACCACATCCCACCCACACCTGGAAACCCCGGAGAGAGATTGTTGGAATGGAACGTGCTCTCTCTCTCTCTCTCTCTCCCTCCCCCTGGAGGGACGCCCCCTGCTTACCTAATTCCGGAGAGTATTAGGCGCAGGTTGGCATGAGCCAAGGCTTGGGGGGAAGCCCAGAGTGTGTGTTGGGGTAACTGCTGGAGTCTGACCGGCTAAAACCGTGTTGATATCGCTGCGTCTATTGGTTGTGCCTTATTTATTTCCAAAGCATTTGTATTGTGGATTTTCTCACCCTGCTCCATCCCTCACTGATCCTACAAGCACATCATTCGTAACCTCCTTCCTTTCCTCCCCAATACAGTGGCACTCAAGTGGGCAGCGTCCCAGAGCGCGTGAAAGTGGGGGAGCATGACACTGAGCTAGTGGGGATGGAGGGGGGAAGGTGACCGTAGGCACTGGTCTAAGAGGAAGGTCTTCAGGCGCGACCGGAAGATGGGGAGGGAAGGGGGCGAGGCAGAGGGATAGAGTGAGAGTACTCCAGAGTTTTGGAGCATAGAGGCTGAGAGTGTGGCCACTGATGGGGTGGAGGGCACAAGGGACAAGCAGGCGGCCAGAGCCAGTCGAGTGGCGAGGTAGGTGCCAGGACTTGCAGATCTTGAAATCAAAAGCACGTGCAAACAATATGCTATTGGGGTAAGAGAGTGGGAGTGGGGACTAGTTGGTGGCTCTTTCAAAGAGCTGCCACAGGCACAATGGACCAAATGGCTTCCTTGTCTACTGTAAGAATTTATGATTCTAGTAAGGTTAACCTACGCTATTTAATTGTGTTCAATATTTTAGAATCATAGAATATTAATTGGTCACTGAGGACAGGGAATCCTCCCACTCAGCTCTGTTAACCCCGCAGTCAAAGCCCTAACTAACTAATGGGGAGGAAGGTCCTCGCTGGACATGCAGTTGGAAAGCTTGGCCAGACAGCGATATCAATGGCCAAGCTATGTGTGGGTTTAGCTGGTTAGACTCCAGCAGTTACCCCAACACACACTCGGCTTCCCCACAAGCCTTGGCTCTCGCCAACCTGCGCCTAATTCTCTCTGGAATTAGGTAAACAGAATACATCCTTCCAGGGAGAGAGAGAGAGAGAGAGCATTCCATCCCAACAATCTATCTGGGATTTCCATGTGTAGTTGGGATGGAATTCTCAGCTCGGGTTTGAAGGTTCTTAAGCGACGGTGATGGGTTTCCGCATGTGTCAGACACCCGACTGAGCAAAAAAATATAATGATTATTGTGGGGGAAACATTGTTCTGTGCGCAGTCTGCAATACCCACACCTTGAGGGGAAATTGGCACTGTTGAGGTTTACATGACCAAAATTTTTGATTCCATGGCTAGTTACCCAGACCTGTTTATTTGCAGGAAGGTGAACCACAGAGCCACAACGAGAGTTTCGCTGTGCCTCATTTTTCTCAACACTCTTTGTTTTGGGTTCCAGTCAACAACGTAAAAGGATATAATCTTTCTCAGATCTGGTATTTGGCTGGAACTGTGTTGCTCACATTTGCCAACTGAATGTTCCTTATGCAAACAGAACATTCCCATCAGCATCTGCCCCATCTGGTTTCATAACGTAAGGAATCAGAACTTTTTTTTCTGTTTTCACAGAAAAACTATATTTTTGTTGTGGGGCGAGTGGCATTTTGGTCCGATGAATGTTCAGAAATCTGGTTAATTGTTTGCTTTATCGCAGCGAAGAGCTGCTTTAAAGTCACGCCCAGTTTGTCAGCCCTTTTTATTTTACAGTTGGCGCTGCGAATTTCGTCAGTGGTTTTATTGTCGAAAGATTAAAGAGCGAAACATTTGAGTGACAAATTATTATTTATTATTTTTTTTGAAGGGATTATTATCCGCCAATCGACTAACTTACTAAGTCGGGTTCCTACTTACTGCTAGGTAAACAACAACAGCGCCTTTCACGTCAGGAGGACGTCCCAAGGTGCTGGACGATGACAGTATTTCGGACCGGAGCTGGGGTCGGGGATGGGAGGGGAAGGGGGCGCGACTGATGGCATGGTCGAAGAGGAGGGTCTTGAGGCGGGACTTGAAGGAGGCTAAGGAGGAGGTGAGGCAGAGTGACTGGGGGATGGAATTCCAGAGGTTGGGGCAGAGTGGCTGAAGGCTCTCCCTCAATGGTGGGGCGGGTGGGTCGGGTACGTGGAGCAGCCAGAGCCGGCTGAGCGGAGGGAGCGGGCGGGTTAGTAGGGGGTTAGGTGGTCGCAGGGGGGTAGGGTGGGGCGAGGCCATGGAGGGCTTTGGAGATGAGGATCAGGATTTTGAACGGGATCCTTTGAAGGATAGGGAGCCAATGGAGTCGAGAATGGGGGAGATGGGGGGTCACGGAGTTTGGTGCGGGAGAGGACACGGGCGGCAGAGTTCCTGATTATCTGCAGCTGTGGAGGGAGGAGTTGGGAAGGCGTTTGCATAGTCGAATCTGGAGGTGATGAAGGCATGAACAAGAGTTTCAGTGGCCTGAGGGGTGAGGTAGTGGCGGAGTCGGGTGATGTTATGGAGGTGAGGGAGGGCAGAGCGGGTCATGGCTTGGATGTCGGGAAGAAAAGATGGTTGAGGGTTGAACAAGACCCCCAGGTTCCTGACCGGTTGGGGAGTTGTGTACAACCATGGAGGTTGATGTTGCCAGAGCCCGAGGTGCGGAGGCGCTGGCGCGAGCAATCAGGAGGGCCTCGTCTTGTTCACATTCAACTGTAGAAAATTTCCCCTCATCCAGGACTTGATGTCTGACAGTGGCCCTGGAGTTGAGGGTGGAGCAGAAAGATAGAGTTGGGTGTCATCCACATACATATGGAAGTTGACCCCTTGTCTGCGGATGATGTCACCGAGGGGGAGCATGGAGATATTAAAGAGGAGACCAGGACAGAGCCCTGGGGGACGGCAGATGCGACAGTGCGGGGGCCGGAGGAGAAACCGTTAGAGGCAACAAAGTGGAGACAGTGAGAGAGATAGGAATTGTAACAGGCGTGTGTGTGGAGTGAGGAAACTTGCCCAACGTGATGAGGTGCTATAGCAAATACAAGGATTATTATCGAACCCAAATCCTCTTGCTTACGGGGCGAGTTCCCTGACTACTAAACTACAAGCTTCATACATAAAACATATGCATCTTAAGCTTATCTGTTGGCAATCGGTCACATCAATCTGGAGGCTGGAGGGGGGTGGAAAGTATGAAAGATTTGTCGGTATTAGCATCCCTGCAATTTTGAGCTTTGTGGGATGAGAACATGTTTTTAACATGAAGAGACCAGATGAAGCTGTTTAAAAGAGTATGTTATTAGCTAAAATTGCAAGTGACTCACCAAGGAAATGTTTCCCCACGTGGTCCTAACTAACATTATACTACATAACATAATATTGCAACCAGACACACATCAATGATAAAGCTTTGAGCAACATAACAAAATGCATTGATAGGAATTAAGACTAAACTAAAATATCGGATCTCCCCAAAGGAGCAATTTAAAAAAACGATGACATAATGTTTACCTCTTCAATAATACTGTTTATGATTTTCACCAACGTTGCATCCGAGAAAAGTAATTAAAATTCCTAGACGTGTAGCCCTGTAGCTCAGTGGTTAGAGCCCTCGCCTCGCAAGCAAGAGGACCTGGGTTCGATTCCCGGGCGGGTCAGGGCGATATGTTGTGCAAGTTTCTTTACTCCACACACACACACGCTTCTGTTTGCCTAGCAGAACCCGATTGTTAGTCAATTGGCGGATTGCTTTTCAAGGGGTAGTAATTCCTTCAAAAAAAATAATAGTACCAATAATTTGGTCGCTCAATCCACGGCTGTTTGTGGGGGACGCTGCTGTGCACAATTGGCTGCCGCGTTTTGCCCACAAAATACACAGTCACTACACTTTACAGGGTATTCCATGAAGCGCTTTGAGGCGTCTCGAAGACATGATAAGGCGCTGTATCAAATGCAAGAATTATTATTATTATTAAGGCTAATGGTTCAGTTTGGGGGTGGGGGGGGGGGTGTCTGGGTGCAGATCCCTGATTGTCCAATGCCCTTCTGACTCGAAGGGCGCTATACAAATGCAAGTTGTTGTTGCTGTTGTCTCGGTGCAGGGACAGACTGTGGCTTCTCATCTCCAGGATGTACGTTTACAGACAGAGCCCAGACTGGTTGGTGTTTGAAGCTTCCTGTGAACGCTGGCTCTAAGGTTTCAATGTGAAGTGAGTTTGGAAAGTTTCAGCTCATTTCCTATTGGAACTGGATCGCAGCACAAATCATTTGGCCTTAATTGGCAACTCAGTTAACAGTCAGGTCAAAGGACGGCTAGTGCGGGAAATGAAAATGAAATTATACAGCACTTAAGTGTAGTCCTGTAACTCAATGGTTAGAGCACTCGCCTCGCGAGTGAGAGACCTGGGTTTGATTCCCGGGCAGGACGAAACCGTGGGCAAGTTTCCTTACTCCCCACACCTCCGTTTACCGAGCAGTAATACTAATAAAATAATAATGATCCTTGCATTTGATATAACGCTTTTCACGTTTTCTCGACGTCTCAAAGCGCTTCACACAATAGACTGTAAAGTGAAGTCTGTATATTTGTTGGCGAAACGCGGCAGCCAATTGCTCACAGCAATGTCCCAGCAATGTCCCAATTTATCATTGTTTGGTTTTGGAGGAGTAAGTAGGAATCCGGCTGTTAGTCGATTGGTGGATTGTTTTCTGGGGGTAATAATCCCTTCAAAACAACAATAATAATAATTTGGTCACTCAATCCACGGCTGTTTGTGGGGACGCTGCTGTGCACAATTGGCTGCTGCATTTCGCCCACAAAATACACAATCAATTCACTTTACAGCGTATTCTGTGAGATGTCTTGAAGATGTGATCGAGCTCTAGATCAAATGCAAGGATTATTATAATAATAATAATAATCCTTGCATTTGATATAGTGCTTTTCACGTCGGAGGACGTCCCAAAGCGCTTCACAGAACACACTGTAAAGTGAATTGACTGTATATTTGTGGGCGAACGCGGCAGCCAATTGCGCACAGCAATGTCCCACAAACAGTCGTGGATTGAAAGTGACCAATTTATTATTGTTTTTGGTTTTGGAGGATTATTATTAGGCTCTGTGTGGAGTAAGGAAACTTGCCCGAGGTTTCGCCCTCTGCCTGGAATTGAACTCAGGTCTCTCGCTCGCAAAGCGAGTGCTCTAACCACTGAGCTACAGGACATTATCATTATTATTATATGTAAACAGAGGCCTGTGTGTGTGTGTACTCCAGTACTTTACTCCAGTAAAGAAACTTGCCTAAAGTTTGGCCCTGACCCGCCCTGGAATCGAACCCCGGCCCTCTGGCTTGCGAAGCGAGTGCTCTAACCGCTGAGCAACAGCAACTCCACAGTTAAAGGAAATGCTCCAGAGGGTCTGCGTGTCAGGCGAGGGCTTTAGCTTCTGATCAATGTGGCCGGAGGGGACTCCCGCCTCTGATTTGCTGTGTTTGTTCTTAAGAAGCCAATACTTCATCATTATCTCCTTCCAATTGGTTCCATCAGTGAAGTTGACAGGAGAGAGAGGGACAACCCAACCAACAGCCCACACTGACCCATGTCTGCAACTGCACAGAGAAGGAGAGACAACAGTGCAACTTGAACAAACTCAGCTGTTCTCCACTGAGCAGCAGCAGAAGGAGGAGGAGGAGAAGGGAGGAAAGGCTTCATTCAGTTGAACAACATAAGAATAGGAGGTGAGCTGTGTGTGTGTGAGTGAGAGTGAGTTAGTGTGTGTGAGTGAGAGAGTAAGTGTGAGTGTGTCTGAGTGAGAGAGTGAGTTAGTGTGTGTGAGTGAGTTAGTGTGTGTGAGTGAGTGAGTGTGTGTGTGAGTGAGAGTGTGTGAGTGTGAGTGATTGAGAGTGTGTGAGTGAGAGAGTGTGTGAGTGAGAGAGTGAGTGAGTTAGTGTGTGTGTGTGTGAGTGAGTTAGTGTGTGTGTGAGTGAGTGTGTGTGTGTGTGAGAGAGTGAGTGTGTGAGTGAGTTAGTGTGTGTGTGTGTGTGTGAGTGAGTGTGTGTGAGAGAGAGTGTGTGTGTGAGTGAGTGTGTGTGTGTGAGTGAGTTAGTGTGTGTGAGTGAGTGTGTGTGTGAGTGAGAGAGTGAGTGAGTGTGTGTGTGAGTGAGTTAGTGTGTGAGAGTGTGTGTGTGAGTGAGTGTGTGAGTGAGAGAGTGAGTGAGTGTGTGTGTGTGAGTATCACGAGAAAATGAAACACAACGATTTGATGCAAAGTTGGCACGACTTTGACTTGGTGTTTCTTGTAACGGAAAAGTTTCCTGATTTAAGTTGTGTTGGTGTTGGTGTTTGTGTTGGTGTTGGGGCTGTTTTCTTCACTCAATCCGCTGTGTGTTGAGAACTTTAGAAGCCGTTAGAGCATTATCAATATAATCGGTCGTGCGGGGAAATTGATTGTTTTATTATGATGATTCTTACTGTTATGTTTTGTTTTGCTAATGCTGTGTCAAACCACAAGCAAACAGAGGCTTGTATTTTTGCGATTAAAAAAAATTCTCAGCCTGTAATCCGGTTTGACTCCGGTTTAAGGGAACCCCCCATCACTCCCCCCTTTTTGTTTCAGACTCCATCCAGAGTGGGAGTGCTCTCCTGTGTCCTCTGTGAGGGTTTGAGCTAATTAGCTCTGAGGATGATGAGGATGACGATGATATTTGTTTGCCCAGCTTTGCTTTTTTTCGTTGGGGGGAAAAAAAAACTTTCGAAAGAAAACTTTTCAAAAAGTTAATCAAAATCAAGAGCAGAATTAAGTCTCGTTAAGGCTTTGAACAGTGAGCGGTGAAATAGGCAGCGAGGGAGACGATATCGTCACGGTGGTGCTTTGAGTGCAAACATAAATCCCACAGAGCGGAGAGATTTAATCTGTGTTCACTCCAACACAGGAGTAAAAGAGAAACTCAATGCAGACCCATAGATTTGTTTGAAGACACAGACTGCTGTTTTTGTACTGAACAAAGACTTGCTGTGTTCGGGTTTAATTTCTGACATATGTTTTGGGGCAGGGGTGGGTGGGTGGGTGGGTGGGTGGGGGGAGAGTTTGTTAGGATCCGGGATAAACTTACACATTTGAAGAGGATGTGATTTTTTTTTTTCTGTTTCGGTAAGATCTCAGGAGTCCTGGAGCTCAGTGGTTAGAGCCCTCGCCTCGCAGGCGACAGGACCTGGGTTTGATTTCCAGGTCAGGGCGAAACCTTGGGCAAGTCTCCTTACTTCACACACACACACACACACACACCCTGATAATAATCCCTCAGGAAAAAAAAATAATAATAATTTGGTCACTCAATCCACGACTGTTTGTGGGGACGCTGCTGTGCGCAATTGGCTGCCATGTTTTGCCCACAAAATACACAGTCACTACACTTTACAATGTATCCCGTGAAGTGCTCTGAGACGCCTCGAAGACGTGATGAGGCGCTGTATCGAATGCCGGGATTATTATTATTATTATCTCACTACCTGGAAAGATCTCAAAACATGACCCTTTGTGAACGGATTAAATAATAATAATAAATACAGGAGAGCCTTCAGCCACTCTGCCCCCAACCTCTGGAACTCCATCCCCCGGTCACTCCGCCTCGCCCCCTCCTCAGCCTCCTTCAAGTCCCGCCTCAAGACCCTCCTTTTCGACCATGCCATCGACGCCCTCCCCCCCCCCCCCCCCCCCCCCCCCCACCCCGGCCACAGCTCGAAATGCTGTCACTGTCCAGCACCTTGGGACGTCCTCCCGGCGTGAAAGGCGCTGTACACATGGAATCTTGTTGTTGTTGTTCTCGACTGCACAAAATGCTTCGTAGGACACACTGTAAAGTGGATGAACCAAATGCTGTCAGTGCCTTCCGTAAACCCACAAAATCCCCTGAAGTAATAATAAGAAATAACAATGTCCGCGTTTGATATCGCGCTTTACCGTGTCGTTGAGCTGTCTCAAATGCTTCACAGAATACACTGTAAAGTGAGGTGCCGTAGTGTTTTGTGGGCGAAATGCGGCAGCGAATTGCGCACAGTAGCGTGGGTTGATTATTATTTTATTATTTAATAATAATATATTTTTTCTTGAGGGATTATTACCCCCGGAAAAGTGTTCCGCCAATCGACTAACAACCGGGTTCCTGCTGACTGCCGGTAACCAGAGGCGTGTGTGTGTGTGGGTGTGTGGGTGTGTGTGGGTGTGTGTGGGAGAGGGTGGGTCCTCTCTCGCTTGCGAGGCGAGGGCTGTAACCACTAACTAGGAACCCGGTTGTTTCCGGGGGTAATAATACCTTCAAAAAAAAATAATAATAATTTGGTCGCTCAACCCACGGCTGTTTGTGGGGGACGCTGCTGTGCGCAATTGGCTGCTGCGTTTCGCCCACAAAACGCACAGACACTACACTTTACAGTGTGTTCCCCGTGAAGCGTTCTGAGACGTCTCGAAGACGTGATGAGGCGCCGGGTCAAACGCGAGGATTATTATTATTATTATCAAGGCCACTGGCGAGATGGAAGCAGAAACTGCTTCAGAGAGTTTTCCACACCTGTCGCTGGAGAATCGTCAACCACCACAACAACAACAACAACACCTTTGATAGCGCCGCCTCACGCAGGGCAGCGTCCTGGAGCGCTTGACACTGGGGGAGCACGACACTGAGCTGGGGCGAGGCGGGGGAGGTAAACATAACCACTGGTCAAACAGGAAGGTCTTCAGGCGCGACCTGAAGGAAGGAGGCGAGGCGGAGGGATTGGGGGGAGAGAGTGACAGAGTTTGGGGGGTGCAGCGGCTGAAACCACGGCCACCGATGGTGGGACGAGGAACAAGCGGGAGGCCGGAGCCAGTCGAGCGGAGGCAGCGGGTAGTGAGGTTGGAGGGGCAGTGAGCAGGAGGGAGAGGTGGTGGTGGGAGTGGGGGGTAGGGGTGACGGGGTGAAGGGGATATATCAGACCGAAAGGATAGAAGATGGCAGAGAGAGCCACTGATTCCCTTTGTGTGCAGCGTCTGCCTGTACAGACTTGCCTGTGTTTGCAGCGCTCAGGGACGTGAGGGCATTGACCTCTGCTTTGCACTGTCACCCCAGCTCCGAAATCGGTTTAGCTTGGAATTTGCCCGGGCCTCTCTCTCGACAGGGCGACTGGATTCTTTCCAGGGTCATAATCCCTTCAAAAAAAAATAATAATTATTGTTCGCTCGCTCAATCCCACGGCTGTCTGTGGGGACGCTGCTGTGCGCAATTGGTTTCGCTCACAAAATACAATTTGCAGTATATCCTGTGAAGCGATTATTATCGTGTCTCGACAACGTGATAATAATAATCCTGGCATTCGATACAGCGCCTTGTCACGTCTTCGAGACGTCTCAAAGCGCTTCACAGGACACATTGTAAAGTGAATTGACTGTGTATGGGACACAGCAATGTTCCACAAAGAGTCGTGGATTGAGTGACCAGATTATTCTTATTGTTATTTTGAAGGGATTATTACCCCCAGAAAAGCGATCCACCAATCAACTAACAACCGGGTTCCTACTGACTGCTGGTGAACAGAGGCGCGTGTGTGTGTGGGGGGGGGGGGTAAGGAAACTTCCCCAATGTTTTGCCCTAACCTGACCTGCCCGGGAATCGAACCCAGGTCCCCTCTCGCTTGCGAGGCGAGGGGTCTAACCCCTGAGCTACAGGGACTGTGGTTTACGAGGCGAGGGATCTAACCCCTGAGCTACAGGGACTGTGGTTTACGAGGCGAGGGGTCTGACCCCTGAGCTACAGGGACTGTGGTTTGCGAGGCGAGGGGTCTAACCCCTGAGCTACAGGGACTGTGGGGTGCGAGCCGGGGAGTCTAACCCCTGAGCTACAGGGACTGTGGTTTACGAGGCGAGGGGTCTAACCCCTGAGCTACAGGGACTGTGGTTTACGAGGCGAGGGGTCTGACCCCTGAGCTACAGGGACTGTGGTTTGCGAGGCGAGGGGTCTGACCCCTGAGCTACAGGGACTGTGGTTTGCGAGGCGAGGGGTCTAACCCCTGAGCTACAGGATTGATGCAAGTTTGTTTGTGATTCTGCAGAGCCTCAGAAACACGAAGATAAACATTCTTAGGCATAGCTCCAGCCGGTGGGTTTGAGGGGAAATCTCTTGGGCTAACTGTCTGGCTCACTTCCCCTTGTTACTGCAGGAGCGATTCGCTTTGCTCTACGCCGTGTTTATGAAGGATTATTAGCCTGGCCTCATATTTCAACCCTCTGGTCAAGTGAAGTTAAGTCATCCATTTCCATTGCCAGATAAAGCAGTGTTTATCTTGGCAATATTTATCACTGGAGTCCCTGTAGCTCAGGGGTTAGAGCCCTCGCCTCGCAAGCGAGAGGACCCGGGTTCGATTCCCGGGCGGTCAGGTCAGGGCGAAACATTGGGCAAGTTTCCTTACTCCCCCCCCCACACACACACACACACACACACGCCTCTGTTACCAGCAGTCAGTAGGAACCCAGAGGCGTGTGTGTGTGTGTGTGGAGTAAGGAAACTTGCCCAACGTTTCTCCCTGACCCGCCCAGGAATCGAACACAGGTCCTCTCGCTTGTGAGGCGAGGGCTCCAATCCCTAAGTTAAGGACTCCATTAAATAATAATAATAATAACAACCCTTGTGTGTGTCCTCTTCAGCGCTTTGGTACTTCCTCCCAACGTGAAAGGCGCTCTGTAAATGTAATTTTGTTGTGTGTGTGTGTGTGTGTGTGTGGGCAGTAAGGAAACTTGCCCAACGGTTTGCCCTGACCAGACTCGCCCGGGAATCGAACCCGGGTTCTCTCATAAGAACATAAGAATTAGGAGCAGGAGTCAGCCATTCGGCCCCTCCAGCCCTGCCCCGCCATTCAATAAGATCATGGCTGATCTATTCTAACTCCACCCGCCCGCCTTATCCCCATATCCCTTAATCCCTTTATCCACAAGAAATCTATCAATCTCAGTCTTGAATATGTTCAAGGACTGAGTATCTACAACCCTTTGGGGTAGAGAATTCTATAAATTCACTACCCTCTGAGTGAAGAAGTTTTTCCTCAACTCAGCGCGAAAGGACTTACCCCTAATTTTAAGACTGTGACCCCTGTTTATAGTTTCTCCAACCAGGGGAAAAATCTCCCACTATCTATTCTGTCGTGCCCCTTAATAATCTTATAGGTTTCTATAAGATCACCTCTCATTCTTCTATATTCTAGAGAATATAGGCCTAAATAGCTCAACCTATTTTCATAACTCATCCCAGGTACCAACCCAGTGACTCTACGCTGTANCCCCCCCCCCCCAAGGCGAGTACATCCTTTCTTAAATAAGGAGACCAAAACTGCACCCAATACTCTCGGTGCGGTCTCACCAGGGCCCTATACAGTTGCAGTAAGACTTCCCTACTCTTATATTCTAACCCTTTTGTAACAAATGCCGACATACCGTTCGCCTTCCTAATCGCTTGCTGTACCTGCAAACCAACCTTTTGTGACTGGTGTACAAGGACACCCAAGTCCCTCTGAACGCTAACACTATCTTGTCTCTCCCCTTCTAAAAAATAATCTGCTTTACTGTTTTTGCCACATAGGTGGATGACTTCACAATTCCCTACATTATACTTCACCTGTTTGCCCACTCACTGAGCCTATCTATATCTCGTTGCATTTTTTTAATGTCATCCTCGGTGTTTACTCTCCCTCTGGTTTAGTGTCATCCGCGAATTTGGATATATTAAGTTCGATGTCCTCATCTAGATCATTGATGTAGATTGTAAATAGTTGAGGCCCAAACACTGATCCTGTGGCACTCCACTAGTCACATCCCACCAATCTGAGAAGGACCCGTTTATCCCTACTCTTTGTTTTCTTCCCGTTAGCCATTCTTCAATCCACGCTAATATATTCCCCTTAATTCCATGGGCCTTAATCTTGTGGATCAACCTTTTATGTGGCACCTTATCGAATGCCTTTTAGAAATCTAAATACACTACATCCACTGATTCCCCCTATCTAATCTACTTGATATGTCCTCAAAAAAATCTAAAAGGTTTGTTCAGCATGACTTCCCTTTTGTAAAGCCACATTGACTCTGTCTAATCATATTGGATCCTCTAAGTATCCCACTACGACATCCTTAATTAAGGATTACAGAATTTTCCCTACCACCGATGTCAGACTAACTGGTCTGTAGTTCCCCATCTTTTCTCTCCCACCCTCTTAAATAGTGATGTGACGTTTGCGATCTTCCAATCAATGGGAACCGTTCCAGAACCCAAAGAATTTTGGATCGCTTGCGAGGCGAGGGCTCTAACCCCTGAGCTACAGGGAACTCCGCTTATATCCGGTATAATTTCATTTTCATTTCCTCCGCTAACCATCCTTTGACCAGACTGTCAACTGAATTGCCAATTAAGGCTAAAATGATGGACCATTTTGTGCTGCAAATTGACTGTGTATTTTGTGGGCAAAACGTGGCAGCCAATTGCGCACAGCAGCGTCCCCACAAACAGTCGGGGATTGAAGTGACCNTTTTTTTTTGGCGGCGTTGTTGTTGTAGGAGTCGAGGAACAACCTTGTGCTGAGAAGTCCCTGGCCAGGCATCGGATCGCGGAGAAGAACAAAGCAACCGGGAATGAAAGCTGCTCTTGTTTTCCTCCGGCAATGTTTGACGATAGTGTTTCTCCACGGAGCTCTGGAGCTCGGCTGCCTGGCTCAACATGAACAGCAGCCTGGGGGGCAGACACAACGCCAGCCCAAGATTCAGCTGCGTCTCATGGGGCGGAGGAAGAAAGAAAGTGAAGGGCGGCTGGAGGTGTATTACAGTGGGGAGTGGGGCACGGTGTGTGATGATGAATTTTCCATCGCGGGTGCTAACATCGCCTGTAGGGAGATGGGCTTCATGGATGCTGTGACCTGGGCACCAGGAGCCAAATATGGCCAAGGAGAAGGTGAGAGAGTCTCTTTCTGTCAGATACAACAACAAATGACACTTGTCTAGTGAGCGCCCTCTCCCTTCACATCGGGAGGACGTCCCAGGGCGCTGGACAGTCAGGATGGTTTTGGACCCGAGCTGGGAGTTGGGGATCAGGAAGGGGTGGAGGGCATGGGGGGAGGGCTGGTTGGGAGGTTGGCCGAAGTCAACGACCGAAGAGGAAGGTCTTTAGACAGGACTTGAAAGAGGCAAGAGAGGGGTGAGGGGGGAGGGATTGCGAGGTAGAGTTCCAGAGGGTGGGGGGGGGGGCAGAGATGCTGAAGGCCCAATTGACAATGGAGGGGCGGGAAGTGCGGGCGGACCTGAAGCAGCCGGTGTCCACCGAGTGGAGAGCGCGGACAAGTTGATATGGGGTTAGGGGGTCGGAGAGGTGCTGGGGAGCAAAACCGTGGAGGGCTTTGAAGCTGTGGGAACAAGAGTTTGGTACTCGATTCTCTGAGGGATGGGGAGCTGGTGAAGCCGAGCGAGGACGGGGGTGATAGGTTTGCGGAGTCTGGTGCGGGAGAGGACACGAGCTGCAGAGATTTGAATAAATTGCAGCTGGTGGAGGGAAGAGCTGGGAAGTCCAGCGAGCAGGCAGTTGGTGTAGTCGAACCAGAACAGTCCTTTCACGCACAAAACGCATAGTCCATCTACATTACAGTGGATTCTGTGAAGCGACATGATAAGGCGCTATATCAAATGCAAGGGTTATTATTATTATTTAATGGCGTCCTTAACTTAGTGGTTAGAGCACTCGCCTCGCAAGCGAGAGAGGACCTGCGCGCGTGGTTCGATTCCCGGGCGGGGCAGGATGAAACATTGGGCAAGTTTCCTCACTCCCCCCACACAAACACACACACACGCCTCTGTTTACCGGCAATCAGTAGGAACCCGGTTGTTGGTCGATTGGCGAATCGCTTTTCTGAGGATAATAATCCCTTCAAAATAATTAATAATAATTTGGTCGCTCAACCCACGACTGTTTGTGGGGACGCTGCTGTGTGCAATTGGCTGCCGCATTTTGCCCACAAAATACACAGTCACTACACTCTACATTGTATCCTGTGAGGTGCTTTGAGAAGTCTCGAAGATGTGATCAGGCGCTGTGTCAAATGCCGGGATCATTATTACAGAGCTTGGAAATTACTTTTGTGTGTTATTTGGGAGGTGGATTATTTCTGTTGTCGTTGCCCCAGGGCTAATCCCCCGCTCCCACTGATGGTGTGTGCATGTGGCTGTCCCCCCTTCAGGTCGTGTCTGGCTGGATAACGTCCGATGTCTTGGGATTGAGAGCAGCATTGCCCACTGCCCCTCGAATGGCTGGGGAGTGACTGACTGCAGACACAGCGAGGATGTGGGGCTGGTGTGCAGCGAAAGCAGGATCCCCGGCTTCAGATTCACCAACACGCTACCCAACCACATTGAGGTGAGCTGTGTGTGTGTGTGTGTGTGCGTGTGGGGGTGTTGTTTGTTTGCGTGTGTGTAGGTTGTTTGGTGTGTTGCTTGTGTGCGTATGGTGTGTTGTGCGCGAGTGTGTGGTGTTTGGTTGTGTGTGTCGTGTGTGTGGTGCGCGTGTGTTGGTGTGTGTGGGGCGGCGGGGGGGGAATTTATATATAAAACACATGATAACTTGGTCACTCTACCCACGACTGTTTGTGGGGAAGTCGCTGTGCGCACTTGTCGGCCCCGTTTCGCCCACAAAACACAGTCACTACATTTTGCAGTGTATCCTGTGAAGCGTTTCGAAGACGTGATAAGGCGTTGAATCAAATGCGAGGATTATTATTATTAATATTATTATTCCTTGTCCCTCGACAAAAGTTCTTTGATGGACTCCACAACCGTAGCTCAAGGGATTCCGACCCGAAGGGCCTCCATTCTGGAGATCCTGATTTCCCTCAATCCCATCGCAGAGCTGCAGGCAGACAAGACGCTGGCGAGAGCTCGCTCTCTCTGACCGCGAACTACACCCGCCTTGTGGTGACACAATGTCGTCTGAGACGCTGATGTAAACTAGTTGTTTGAGGTTTTCCTGTTGCTGAGAATGTGCTCCTGTCACTCAGCGGGTTGGGGAGGGGTGCGCGGTCTGTGGTGTGTTGTGGCCGGGAAAGCGCGGTCGCGCAGGAACGTTTTCAGGCGCGGCTTGAAAAGGGGGAGAGACGGGGCACGGCGGAGAGGTTGAGGGAGATTGTTCCAGAGTGCAGAAGGCAAACATAAATCCTCCTCAAGTCGAGTTCCGTGCAGAGAGAATGGAGCGCCGTGATTTATCTTTTTTTTTTTACTGAGGCCGGCCAATGATTTGGGAGGCCCACTGAGCAGAAAGGCCAAGTTCCGGGGAGAAGCATCGGCAATTTGCCACAACAACGAAAAACTTTGTGCCAAGATCCGAAGAACAAACAAAAATTGGCGTACAATTTCTGTTGAAGCAAAATTTAATTGGATGAGCACCACATCCTCACTGTTTTTCATACTGTATTGATAAGTCCTCAGGGGTTAGAGCCCTCGCCTCGCAAGCGAGAGGACCCGGCACGGGTCAGGGGAAATGTTGGGCAAGTTTCCTTACCCCCCCCCACCCCCTCCACACACCCCCCCCCCCCCCCCCAACACACACACACACGTGCCTCTGTTTACCAGCAGTCAGTAGGAACCTGGGTCATCAGTTGATTGGTGGTGGATCGCTTTCCTGTGGTAATATTTGGTCATTCAACCCACGGCTGTTTGCGGGGACGCTGCTGTGCGCAATTGGCTGCCGCGTTTCGCCCACAAAATACACAGTCACTACACTTTACAGTGTATCCTGTGAAACGCTTTGAGACGTCTCGAAGATGTGATAAGGCGCTGTGTCAAATGCGAGGCTCATTATTATTATAATAATTTTCAGTTGGGTTTGGAGACTATTAAGCACGGTGATGGGTTTCCGCGTGTCGGACACCCGCTGAGAAAAACAATCACAGCTGAACTCTTTCGGATTGTTGTCTGTCACTGATCTGTTGCCGCATTGCAATATATTGACGATGTCTTCCACCCAATGTACTTCCAGTCATTGTTCAGGGAAACCATTTATGATCTCATACAATTATACAGCACAGAAGGAGGCCATTCAGCCCATCGTGTCTGTGCCGGTTCTTTGAAAAGAGCTTCCAATTCAACCCCACTCCCCCCGCGCTCTCCCCACAGTCCTGATCAACCCCACTCCCCCGCTCTCTCCCCACAGCCCTGATCAACCCCACTCCCCCGCTCTCTCCCCACAGCCCTGATCAACCCCACTCCCCCGCTCTCTCCCCACAGCCCTGATCAACCCCACTCCCCCGCTCTCTCCCCATAGCCCTGATGAACTCCACTCCCCCGCTCTCTCCCCATAGCCCTGCAAACTTGTTCTCCCCAAATAATTATCTACTTCTCTCTTAAAAGTTGTTATTCAATCGGCGAGCAAATTTGGCTCACAAACTCTGTGACGTGCCAGTTTCCATGGAACAGATTCCCATCCCATAGGGTCTACAATAATAATGATAATATAATAATGATCGTCCTCTCCCGCACCAGACTCCGTGATCCTATCACCCTCACCCTCGCCCGACTCCACTGGCTTCCCATCACACCGAGGATACAGAACAAAATCCTGGTCCTCACTTTCAAAGCCCTCCATAGCCTCACTCCCCCCCAACTCTGCGACCTCCTGAACCCCCACCATCCTGCCCGATCCCTCCGCTCAGCGCGCTCCAACCTGCTTCACGTCCCCTGCCTCGCTCGCCCCTCTATTGGCGAGCTGGCCTTCTGCCACTCTACCCCCACCCTCTGGAACTCCATCCCGCAGTCCCCCCGCCTCGCCCCCTCCCTTGCCTCCTTCAAGACCTCAAGACCCTCCTCTTCAACCGTGCCTTTGGTCACCCCCCTGACCTCCACCCTCCCTGATCCCGACCCCCAGCTTGGGTTCGAAACACTGACTGTCCAGTGCCTTGGGACGTCCTCCCAACACGAAAGGCACTCTAAAAATGTAATTTTGTTGTGTTTTTTATTGTTGTTGATACAGTGCCTTATTACATCTTCGAGAGTCACAGGATACATATTTTGTAGGCGAAACACAGCAGTCAATGGCGCACAGCAGTGTCCCCACAACAGTCGTGGATTGAGTGACCAAATTATTATAATTATATTTTGGAAGGGGTTATTACCCCCAGAAAAGAGATCCGCCAATCGACTAACAACCGGGTTCCTACTGACTGCTGGTAACCAGAGGCGCGTGTGTGTGTGTGTGTGTGGGGGGGGGGGGGGGGGGGGGGGGGGGAGTAAGGAAACTTGCCCAATGTTCGGCCCTGACCTGACCCGCCCGGGAATCGAACCCGGGTCCTCTCGCTCGCGAGGCGAGGGCTCTAACCCCTGAGCTACGGGACTACAATATACCAGGCAGATTCTGCCACAAGGTAAAATACTCATTGTCCATCAACCGTGTCCGTGGGTTGACTCAGCGGGGGAAGAAAAGCCTTCTGCACTTTGCCTCTTGTTAATTCTCAGCTGTTGTGGGAATCAGTGCGATAATGTGGAGTCTGCAAAAACAAGTCGACGTGGGAACGAGTTGGAAAAAATGTTTCAGAAGTTACTCATTTCTTGGCAAAGCTCTGTGTCCTTGTGTGTGCATTTTTTACTCCTTAAAATTATATTTCCATTCACCAAAAAGCCATTACTTGATAGTTTGATGAGAGCAAACCTCTCAATGTGTCCTGTCAGCCAGCCGTCCAGACATGTTATTATATTGGAGCAATCGCCCATATATAATAATAATAATCCTTGCATTTGATACAGCGCCTTATCACGTCTTCGAGACGTCTCAAAGCGCTTCACAGGATACGCTGTAAAGTGAGTTAACTGTACATTTTGAGGGTAAAACGCGGCAGCCAATTGAACACAGCGATGTCCCCACAAACACTACAAAATACACAGTCAATTCGCTTTACAGTATGTTCTGTGAAGCGCTTTGAGGCGTCTTGACAACGTGATGAGGCGCTGTATCAAATGCAAGGATTATTATTCTTATTATTGGCTTTTCCTCTGTGTTTTCGGGCTTGACTGCAAATGTCGATCACGAGGTTTCACCTTCGCTCAGCAAGATTCACAGCCATCCGGTGTGGGTCTCCTGCAAACAAATGCGTCCATTCCGCTCCCTCTCATTTTCACTCTTGCTCCATCTCTGTGGATTGTGCTGCTGTTTATGACATTATAGTGTGGGATGTCCGAGACTGCAGTTGCAGTTTGCATTCCCTTCTTAAATTGCTTGTGAGTCAGATAGTCTGTCAGTGCATTGAAAATTCCATCTGTGCTGCTAAAATATGCTCCTGTGTTTTCTCCTCTACATTTTTTTTCAACAGAGTGTTTTTCTGACGAAGGCTGGCGGAGGCTGCTACAGACTGGCCTGACCTGAGAGTTTTGACTGAAACATTAAAACCATAGGCACAGGAGGAGACCATTCAGCCCCTCAAGCCTGTTCTGGCATTTTCTCAGAGAATTGACTATATTTTCTGGGTGAAATGCGGCAGCCAATTTGCGCTCAGCAGTGTCCCGCAAACAGTGGTGGATTGAGTGACCAAATTATTATTATTTTATTTAAAAGCAATCCCCCAATCGACTACCAACCTCAGGAGAGCCGAGAGAAGCTCGGATTGTTCTCCCTGGAGCAGAGAAGGTTAAGCGGAGACTTAATAGAAGTTTCCAAAATTAGGAGGGGATTCAATAGGGTGAACAAGGGGGAAATACTCCCACTGGCGGGTGGGTCAGTAACACGAGGACAACAATTTAAAATAATTGTTAAAAGAAACAGAGGGGAGGGGAGAAGAAATATTTTCACACAGCAAGTTGTTGGGATCTGGAATCTGAAGCACTCTGAGATGCCGTCCGGCGTGGAGAGTGCTATATAAACTAAGTTGTTGTTGTTGGAATGCATTGCCTGAAAGGCCGGTGGAAACCGATTCCATAACAACTTTTAAGAGAGAAGTAGATCATTATTTGGGGAGAACAAGTGTGCAGGGCTATGGGGAGAGAGCGGGGGAGTGGGGTTGATCAGGGCTATGAGGAGAGCGCGGGGGAGTGGGGTTGATCAGGGCTATGGGGAGAGAGCGGGAGAGTGGGGTTGATCAGGGTATGGGGAGAGCGCGGGGGAGTGGGGTTGATCAGGGCTATGGGGAGAGAGCGCGGGGGATTGGGGTTGATCAGAGCTATGGGGAGAGAGCGGGGGAGTGGGGTTGATCAGAGCTATGGGGAGAGAGCGGGGGAGTGGGGTTGATCAGGGCTATGGGGAGAGAGCGGGGGAGTGGGGTTGATCAGAGCTATGGGGAGAGAGCGGGGGAGTGGGGGTGATCAGGGCTATGGGGAGAGAGCGGGGGAGTGGGGGTGATCAGGGCTATGGGGGGGGAGTGGGGGAGTGGGGGTGATTTGGAAGCTGTTTTCAAAGAGCCGTCAGACACGATGGGCCGAATGGCCTCGTTGTGCGCTGTATAATTCTATGATTCTATGTTCCTACTGACTGCTGGTAAACAGAGGTGTGTGTGTGTGGTGGGGGCGCAGTGGGGGGGAGTAAGGAAACTTGCCCAATGTTTCACCCTGACGTGACCCGTCCGGGAATCAAACCCGGGTCCTCTCTCGCTTGCGAGGCGACGGCTCTAACCCCTGAGCTCCAGGATTTGCAGCTTGTCACCATGTGCACTTTGTGTTACAGGACGGTCTCGTTCAGGTGGATGACGTCCGTGTCAGGGGGGTGTTCGGGAGCTCGAGGAAACGGGTCCCGGTTAAGGAGGGCTACGTGGAGGTGAAGGAGGGCGGAGTGTGGAAGCAGATCTGTAACACGGGCTGGACATTCAACAGCAGCCGAGTGATCTGTGGCATGTTTGGGTTCCCGGCGGAGAAGCATTTCAATGCCAAGGTTTACAAGTAGGTCTGTGCTATGGGCAGCCGTTGGCTTTCAACGTGTACGATGCTAAAATATTCACAGCACTAAACCAGCCGTCGAGTCTTAGCACTTAGCGTTGTCGGTCGATTGGCCGATCACTTTTCCGGGGATGACAATCCCTCTAAAAAATAATAATTTGGTCATTTCAACCCACGGCTGTTCGTGGGGACACTGCTGTGCGCAATTGGCTGCCGCGTTTCGCCCACAAAATATACAATCGCTGTCTTTTACGGCGTATCCTGTGAAGCGCTTTGAGACGTCTCGAAGACGTGATGAGGCGCTGTATCAAATGAAAGGATTATTATTATTTATTATTATAACTAACGCGGCTGAACCCAGGCACAGGCACTGACTCAGTGAGATAATTAATCCCACTGAACACCTCAACCCCTCTCTCTCTCCCGCTCACTCTCAGCCACAAGATAGATTCCACAGGCACACCCCAGCGAGGCCGCTGTGCGCGGGCAGGGACCAGGCAGTGGCCGTGTGTGTCGTTTGACAAAGAGGGTCAGGCCATGGACTGCAACCGCACGTCGCTGGTGTGTTTATTAGTTTATGCTGTTAAGTGAGAAAGTCTGACAGATTATTATTATTATTATCGGCTTCTGCTGAGCATTGCCTACAGCGCAGACTCACAAACAGAAGGGAGGACAAGTTTGCAGGGCTATGGGGAGAGAGCGGGGGAGTGGGGTTGATCAGGGCTATGGGGAGAGCGCGGGGAGTGGGGTTGATCAGGGCTATGGGGAGAGGGGGAGTGGGGTTGATCAGGGCTATGGGGAGAGAGTGGGGGAGTGGGGTTGATCAGGGCTATGGGGAGAGAGCGGGGGAGTGGGGTTGATTTGGAAGCCCTTATCAAAGAGCCATCACAGACTCGTTGGGCCGAATGGCCTCCTTCTGTGCCGTATAATTCTCAGATTCTACAGCACAGACCGTCCCGGGTGCCGTCCCGGATCAGTGTTGAGTCACCATAGCTCCTGTGAAGATAAAACAGAGCATTTTGATGTGGGTGTCCCGTAGCTCAGGGGTTAGAGCCCTCGCCTCGCAGGCGAGAGGACCCGGGTTCGATTCCCAGGCGGGTCAGGTCAGGGGGAGACGTTGGGCAAGTTTCCTTACCCCCCCCCTCACCCCCCACACACACACACACCGCCTCTGGTTACCAGCAGTCAGTTGGAACCCGGTTGTTAATCAATTGGAGGATCCTTTTCCGGGGGTAATAATCCACTCAAAAAAATACTACTGCTAAACAGTAATTCAGTCACTCAACCCACGACTGTTTGCGGGGACGCTGCTGTCCGCAATTGGCTGCCGCGTTTCGCCCACAAAACACACAGTCACTACACTTTACAGTATATCCTGTGAAGCGCTTTGAGACGTCTCGGCGACCTGATAAGGGGCTGTGTCAAATACCAGGATTATTATTATTATTAATCTGCTGCTCTCTTATCAAAGTGGAACACATGGGGGGCCGGGAATCCTCCCCCTCAGCCCCTGTTAACCCCACAGCCAAAGCCCTAACTAACGGGGAGGGGGGTCCTCGCTGGACAAGCAGCGGGAAAGCTCGGCCACACAGCGACATCAATGGCCGGAGCTGTGTGTGGGTTTAGATGGTTACACTGCAGCAGTTACCCCAACGCACACTCTGGGCTCCCCCCCCCCACCCCAAGCCTTGGCTCTCGCCAACCTGAGCCTAATAATCTCCGGAATTAGGTAAACAGGGGGCGTCCCTCAGGGAGAGAGAGAGAGAGAGAACACATTCCATTCCAACGATCTATCTCTGGGGTTTCCAGGTGTGGAGGGGATGTGGGGAATTCTCAGTCGGGTTTGGAGACTCTTAAGCCACAGTGACGGGTTTCCGTGTGTGTCAGACACGCGGATGGGTGAAGAAATAGCATATAATGCTGCCCACAAAACACACAGTCACTACACTTTACAGTGTATTCTATGAAGTGCTTTGGGACGTCTCGAAGACGTGATAAAGCACTGTATCAAATGCCAGGATTATTATTATATTTTTTTATTAAGGGACAGAGAGAGATAGAGAGAGAGAGCGCGAGCCTTGCAGACGAGGAGGAGGGGATATCAGGCTCTGGGCACTGGGCACCGCATTGATAAGGGGAAATGTCAACAACAATTGTCAGGATACACATCTTAGCAGTGAGTCCTATTAACTAACATTCAGCGCTCATTCAATCGGCTTTAATGAGGCGTAAAGATACGGCAAAGGCCTCTCCAAACAAGTCCTGTGCTGCTCTCTGCTCTTTAAATGCCTATTTCGCTGCTGATGGCATCAAAAGGTAAACAGTGTTTTTGTGGAACGCTCCATCTCAGCCCATCAGCTTATTAACGTGACTGCAAGAGCTACAAACGAATAGGCGGCCGGAGATTTCCATCAACAACAACAACAACAACAAGATTCCATTTATAGAGCGCCTTTCACGTCAGGAGGACGTCCCAAGGCGCTGCACAGTTGGGTCATGACCCGAGCAGGGGGGAAATGGTCAGGGTGAGGGGAGGGAAGGGAGGGAGAGAGGAGGGGGAAATGGTCAGGGTGAGGGGAGGGAAGGGAGGGAGCGAGGAGGAGGAAGAGAGTCGAGAGGGGAGCTGAAGGCTCGGTCAAAGAGAAAGGTTTTGAGACCGGCCTTGAAGGAGGAAAGGGAGGAAGCAAGGCGAAGGCACTGGGGGATGGAGTTCCAGAGCCTCGGGGCTGAGAGGCTGAAGGCCCGACCACCGATAGTAGGGCGGTTGGGGCGGGGGACGTGGAGCAGACCGGAGCCAGAGGAACGGAGGGTACGGGCAGGTAGGTAGGGGGATAGTAGGTTGGAGAGGTAGGAGGGAGCAAGGCCGTGAATGGCCTTGTAGGTGAGGATGAGGATCTTGAAATCAATCCTCTGGGGGATGGGGAGCCAGTGGAGGCGAGCGAGGGTGGGAGTGATGTGGTCCCGAAGCCTGGTGCGGGACAGTACACGAGCTGCAGAGTTCTGAATGACCTGCAGCTTGTGGAGGGAGGTGGCGGGAAGGCCGCGAGGAGAGAGTTCCCATAGTCCAGCCTTGAGGTGACAAAGGCGTGAACCAGGGTTTCAGCCGCGTGAGGGGTGAGGTAGTGCCGTAATCTGGCGATATTCCGGAGGTGATGGAAGGCGGTGCCAGTTGTGGTGCGGATGTGAGGGAGAAAGGACAGCTCAGGGTCGAACAAAACGCCGAGGTTCCTGATGGCTTTGCGAGGTGGAGAGTGCAGCCTTGGATGCTGATGGTGTCAGCGCCTGAGGTGCTGCGCTCTCGCCCTCAATCCTCCCCGCGCCTTGTATCCTGTGAAGCGCTTTGAGACGTCTCGAAGCCTTGATCAAATGCAAGGATTATTATTATTATTATTATAATTATCATCCCCCCCCCAGCCCAAAACCCAATCCCTCTCTCTCCCTCTCTCTCCCTCTCTCTCTCTCTCTTCGCTGTAGTGGCTTACACACGCTCCCGTTATCAGGAAAGGCGGTGGGGGGGGTGGGGGTGGGAGGGGGAGGGGAGATGTTTGAGAACGGTAAGGAATGGTGCTTCATGGAAGAGCCCACATTCCGTGAACGTTGAGTGAAATCTTTCTGCGCTGTTACTGTCCGGATTAACCTTTGCCACTTGAGCAACAGTCAGCAACGGCTGCTTCTGCTGACCAGGAATGTTGCCCCCCCCCCCCACCCCCCCCCCCCGATGGCTGCTGATAAGGCTATCTATCTGCTGCCCTGGTGGGAGGTTTCCTGTGGTCCTCCCAACCTGCCCGCTCCCTCCTCTTGATGGGCTCCGGCCTGCTTCACGTCCCCCACCCCCACCATCAGCGATCGGGCCTCAGCCCCTCTGCCCCCCCCCTTTCGAACTCCATTCCCCCCGTCTCGCCCCCCCCCCACCCCGCCCCCTTCCGTCACCTCCTTCAAGACCCCTTTTAAGACACTCCTCTTTGACCAACCAGATTATTACCCTCGGAAAAGCGATCCCCTTGACTGCTGGTAAACAGAGAGTGTGTGTGTGTGTGTGTGTGTGGGGGTGGGGGGGTAAGGAAACTTGCCCAACATTTCGCCCTGACCTGACCCGCCCGGGAATCGAACCCGGGTCCTCTCGCTCGCGAGGCGAGGGCTCTAACCCCTGAGCTCCGGGGAACTCCATATGTGAGGATTATTTATGGATCAAATGGTTGAGTCGTCCCATGTGAGGGCTTTGCTGTGGGCGATACCAGTGACTGGGCTTTGAGCTCCAAAGAAACCCGGGTCAGACACAAGCCCTACTGTCCTGCCCCAGTGAGAGAGGAGAGAGAGAGGGCGGAGAAGAGAGAGAGAGAGAGAGAGAGAGAGACTGAACGAGATCCCAGTCACCAACAGCCAAGGTGAGAAAACACAATGTGGAAACCAAACACACGGCCACCCAGAGAGAGAGAGAGAGAGAGAGAAACAACAACAACAAGACATTTCTACCGCACCTTTCACGTGAGAAAGAGATAGAGAGCGCGAGAGAGAGAGAGAGAGAGAGAGAGAGAGATGGCAATGACACGGTTGGATGAACATCAGGAAGGATGATGAGCAGAGATAACGCTGTGGAAGATGTATTATTTTTTGAGGTGGAGAGAGGGTGGGGTGGGTGTGGGGAGGGGGGGGGGTGGGGGGAAGTGCTGAGGATTCGTTCCAGCATCGTTCCTCTCCCTCACCCCCACCCGCTCGCGAGCAGTCACCCGACACACTACATCGACAGCGAAAGGCTCTTTCACTGAATCGGCCTGAAATCTCCTCTTCTATCAATAAACAGTTGCCATTACATCACAGCGTTAATCTCCCACAGCGCTGCTCCCACACAGTAACAATAACATCCCTCGTGTTTTCTTGGGGGGTCAGATACCAGCACTGTTTTGAGGGGTTCTGTACAGTGTGCGGTCACATAAGGTCAGCATTGAGCAGACACCAAAACGCCCCTTGTGGGTCCTATCCCCCCACCTCACCCCCTTCCTGCCCCAT